ACTTGATTTGGGGATGCTATAGTCCCAAGTTTAGAGTAAGATCAGATCTTCCTTTGGACCACTGTCCGGCTCCGGGTTCAACACCCTAAACCCTAAAGCACCCCGACAGGCGCTCAAAGCCCAAATATCTCGATTGCGACAGGCTCCTGCGATGGATACTAAAAATCCTGCATGACCCTATGTACCTTATACCTTGGGAAGTATGGTACTATACAAAGTGTGTTCATGCAGGATTGTTAGTATCAACAGTGACTTATCTTTGGGGTTTAGGGGTGGATTTCGGGCCTAAGGGCTTCAGGGTTTAGGGATTAGGGTTTAGGGCTTGGAAGATACCCTAAAACCTTAAACCCTAAACCCCAGGGATTGAGGCCTCAGGGATTCAGAGACTCTGGGTTTCGCGATCCAGGATTTCGGCCAGTCATGTTCAGGATATGGGATTCACGGATACTTGGAGGGTCATGGGGACTTGTAAGTCGGATAATAATTGAGATAACGAGGATTACTTTATGGTTTATATAGGGGTTATTAACCTACTTACTAAGTCCCCAAGACGCTCCAAGTGAGGTTTAGCACCTCGGTTTGGCTGGCGGGCATCCATGCAATAAACCTTACCTGAAGCATGCTGTGCCCCTGAACCGATACATGATCCTAAGCTGGGGCGGGATGTCTGAAATCTGGGCGATTCCCCCAAACCCTAAACCCTCAACCCTAACATGTTTGAAGATCTTAATATGTTGGGGAGGGGATATCGTTTAACCCTTTACCTTGGACAACTCCTGGGTATGTCCGTGCGTTGTTGTGTCCGGCCGACGACATTTCCTTCATTTACCGGCTCCACAGCAAGAACTCCCCTTTGATACGTCGAGTGGGTTGATGGGTTTTCTGCTTTTTGCAGTTGATTTACCTTCGGCGGAGCCCAAAGCCCCAACCCGACGTAGGCCCAACCCCCAACGCCTAAACCCTGTACCTTTGGAGCTCAGGCGGGAGAAACAAAAAACTGTACCCTACACCTCAAGTGTAAACCCCAAACTTCAGGCCCTGGAAGAAAGACGGCGACGCCTCCGCAACGCAGCCGGAGAAGTGCCCGATACCCGGCAGGGTTTGGGGTTTGTTCAGAGTTTAGGGATTTCTGGCCTCTTTCTTCGGGTGTAGGGTTTGGGATTTAGGGTTTGGGAGTTTAAGCTTTCAGGCTTCACAGTTTAGGCTTGTTCAGTTTTTGGCTGTGGGCTTCCGCCTTTTTGGGGCTTTCTGCAGGTCTGTAGAGAAGTAGTTATGAGGATCAGAGCCGCTCCCACAAAAGCGCCTTCTCCTTGGGTTCCTAGGAAGAAGAAGGGGTTAGCAGATACCCTTCTGCTGGATTCTTCTGGACTTGGCGGCGCGCCGATTTTCCTTGGCTCTCGTTGGCGGCTGGCGCAGTCATGAGACTCATGACTTCATGCTACCCAAAACTACCATAGAGGCCCGCAAGAGGTCCCACAAGGACCAACGTCCTTCCAAAACAGGTTTATGTCGGATTCAGCGTTGTGGTGGGGGTAGAACTTTGGCTGCCCCAGAAGCATTTCAGCTTCGCACATGCCATGTCACCAGCTTCTTTTGTTGTAGTGCTTGCCGTCACCTGCACAGTTTTGGGCTGCTTTCTGTCAAAACAGAGCATTAGATTTAGGTGAGCTAGAGTCTAAACTCCTTAAAGGGGTTTGTATAGGGGATTATATAGGGGAATAGTATAGGGGTTACTAAGGGGAGTACTAGGAGTTTAGACTATAGCTCAGGTAAGTTCAGAGCTTTGGCATGCATGGCATATTCAAAGTGCTGAGCCCAGCTGGCAGCCCTCAAATCCTCACCTGCAAAGCTTCCCAGGGCGCAGCAGAGGCAGCTGTGTGCAGACATCGAGGCTACCTGAATGGATTGGGTTGGGTTTCAGGGTTTAGTTTTGTTGAAGGTTGAACCCTAAACCCTAAACCCTGAGGGTTTATTGTTTCCAAGTTGATTCCAAAGCCCTATTCAGGATGTAGCAGTGTCTTCGAGCACTGCCACTGCTCCACAGCCGGTGAAGCCATGAACGCCCTCCCCCCAATAAGGGTTTAAGGTTTAGGGTTTAGGGGTTTAGGGTTTAGCCCCCCGCCCCCAAACCAATGCTTGACACCCTGATGGTTGGATGCACGCGCGTGGATGCGCTGTCGAGTTCGCTGTGCAATACCTCATGTTCATCTATGGGGGCTACACGAAATAATAAACGTGATGTCCGTCTCGCAATCCAGTACCATGTTACATTAGGCGGAATGTTTTTTCATTATTGCTGACTGGTTCTTAGTAGGGCAGAAGGGAAATCCCTCTGTCATGCGATATATTCCCTTACTTCCTAAACCCTAAACCCTAAGCCCTAAGCCCTAAACCCCTTATTCCCTACTAAGCACCAGTAGTGTTAGGGCAGGGGATTCAAGCCACTGCGCTGCAGGTGCAGCATGCTTCGGAGCAGCCGCACTACGAGCACGGCACTTAATGCAGGGTCCCAGATCCCCATAAGGGGATTTCCCAAAATTAGGGGTATCTTTTTAGGGGTCCCAATAATAAGGATTATAGTATTTTGGGGCCTATGTTGGGGTCCCCCTATTTTGGGAAACTACCATAACAGATCCCCTCCCCTTATGTTAGACTTCTCCACCCCCCTAAGCTTAATTGTTCCCAATATATCACTAAACAATGGGAATGTTTATTACTAGGGGGTGGGAGAATTTTCATTTTCGGGGGAGGGGATTCAATCTGACCACAAAACCTCAGACCTCAACGTAGGCGTGGTGGTGTTCAGGTTAAAGATTTCAGCCTTCTTGGCCAAGGGTGGTGATTCAGTGGTCAAGCCTCCAAGTCTTCCCCCTAGCTTTCTTGTGTCTTTGCCTGCAAGAAAGCTTCCAGCATGTGCTCCAGAGCCAGAAAAAGATTGTTACTATTGGTAGATTTTCACAGCATTTTGCACACTTTTTAAAGTAATTCTAATAAAGGAACCCTATTCTCTACCTTATACCCTTATTATGGTAACTCATACCCTAAACCAAAAGCCTTAGCAATGTCTTCACAGTTTACCCAGATGGCTTGAAGCTGCAGCACCCAAATTGCGTCTTCCATCCTTATTGGGACACCCAGCACTTTGAGGTATGCCTTGGGTTGGGCCACCACCACTAATAGTGGTATACTAGGAACATATAAGGACCCTAATATAATTACCATGACCTTTTGTGGTCACTACTAGTGGGTGGGGGCCCAACCTAAGGTATGCCCATGTCGCACTTACACCCCCTAAACCCTAAACCCTAAACCCCAAACTTGTTTTCTGACTTGGGAATCTTCATCCCTGAGCCCTAAACCCTTAAACCCCGAAACCCTGAACTGTAGTGATGTTAAGATTTGGGTCTACTTCTGACTCATCTTTGTCTCTGAAGGTAAGTTTGAAATTTTAGGTTCGCAACTTGTTGGAGCATTCGACGTCAGTTTTCAGGGCTCAGGGTTAGGGTTCAGGGTGAAGGGTTTAGGGTTACAGCTTTGCCCAGCACTGCTTTACGACCAGAAGAAGTTGTGGGCGTCAAGTTTAAGTGATTGTAGTCCTCGGCACTCAACGTTGTCGGATGTGTCTGGGGGCTTTAGGAGGGGACCTTAATGGCTAGGGAGGGATTTAAGCATAATATACCGGGTATATCAATATGGTAGTTTCCCAAAACGAGGGGACCCCAATATAGATCCCAACATACTATGATCCTTATTCGTGGGACCCCCAAGAAGGTACCCATAATTTTGCCAAAGCACCCTAAACGTTATATATCCCTATGACCCCTAAATAAGCAAGTGGGATTCTAGGTGGCGCTCCCGAACCCTAAACCCTACATCCTAAACCCTATGGGTATAGGCTATAGACCCTAAACCCTAAACCTTAGAGGTACGCTATAGGGTATAGGCTATAGACCCTAAACCCTAAACCTTAGAGGTTTAAGGGGAGGGTCCCCGACTTCCTGAAGCCTAGGCCTAAGTCTGAAATCCTGGAAATCTCACAGAACAGTTTTGTTCTTTACCCTAGTGACCAAGTCCTAAACCTTGGTACATCATCCATCCATCCCATACTGCAGAGCCCTCAGCTCATCACCCTCAAACGGTTGTCCGCTGCCTCAAAAGTTTTAAGCTTTCAAAGGTATGGTCCCCCTTAAGTAGATAGAATATGGCTTAGGGTATAATATAATACAATCCCCGTATACCTCATATTCTACCTACTTAAGGGGACTGGATATCCTGAGACTTTTTGAAAAAAGCCGATGCAGCCTCTAGGATGCCCTCAATATCCCGATGAAGCCCAGGCTGCTTGGGAACCCTAGGAAGCTCTTTTTGACTCTTTGAAAGCTTTCAGTCGGTCGCAGCCTAATTAAAAAGCATGCACGCTGCGCAGGGGCTGTGTGTACTCAGCATGTGCATACTGCACGCTGGCACAGAAATCAACACAACTCATTGATGGGGCCCGCGGCCCTTGAGGGGAAACATCAAGGAGATTTAGCCGACCGATCCTTGAGATCGAAAAAGTCCTATCCCCAACGTCCCGTCAGCCCTCAACAAAACCAAACAAAAATCCACTGGAGCAGAAATCTACTGAGAAGTAGTGTGCACTCAGGGCTCGAACAAAACTGAGCCATGGCAAGTAAGCCACCTAACGAAAAAGATATTCCTGCACATCGGGTCCCAAGCAGGCTATCCTCCTCCGTGGGACTCATACTGAGCCACCGGTAGGTGCAGTGACAGCGTATGCACAAACCAGGGCCCAGCGAACTCGAAACCACCTATCCAAAGACATTAGCACAACACAAAATGGTTTACGAAGGCCATGTACAAAATCCGGCAATCTATTTAAAGTTTTCCGGATCTGATTGAATCGGACCAGCTCTGTAGCAAATATTGTTCCACAGACTAGCAAAGAGGAACATTCACTTCTGCAGGATGTAGCGAACGATCCTTTCCGCACTTAGGACCATTCTTCTCCAGCACCTCGGTGACATCCTTGGCCATGTCCGGAGTGCGCACGAACCGGATCATGTTCTCCACATTCTTCCAGCCCATCTCGCGCCGCACCAGTTTAACGGCTTCCACCTCCATGGTAAGACACTCCTCAAAGAACGGGCCAGTGTTGCGGCCACAGCCTCGGAAGCCAATCATGGGGTTCTCCTCATCAGGCTTGTCCTTAGGCGCGAACTCGTGGGTAATGTTGAACATGGACGAGCTGAGCTTCCGGTCATTGTATTCAGCACCAGTTGGACCGAAAGCGAGAGTGCAATTCCGTAGCCCACGCCCTCCGTCGCTGTATCCCAGGCCATGCAGAATGCAGTTGCATCTTCGGTCTTGTACAGCACCTCATACCTGGCAAAGTGATAATTGAGGTCAATGCTGAAAGCATCTCAGTCTGCTCCATAGACGCCATGCAATTGGGGCGCTCCGCGCAGTACTTGGAGTTCCTGATCACGCATGGCAGGACCGGCAGGTCGTCATCTTCCATCAGGACGCTCACGGAGGCTTTGACGATATGGTAGGTTTCGGTCAGGGCGAACCACTTGATGTCCACATTTTTTGCCGTCTCGCAAAGATGGTAGACGGGCTCGTGCAAGGCCTTCTTCGTCCTCATGGTGACATTGCAACCGGGATCCACAATCTCCTCTGTCATGGTAGCCTGGTCGAAACAGGCGAGGTCCAAGATCTTCTTGAATGAGTGGGTCGTCGGCACCGTTTCCTTCTGGTGTCCATGCATGTCGGAGAAAGCCACTCCCAAAGTGACTTCGTCATCTTCCAAGTTTCAAACAGGCTCTTGCTCGAGCTGTGGCGAATGTAGGTCGGGAACCCAAAGCTGGTGTTGAGCAGGGTGCTCACGTAGTTGCCCACCAGCATTGAGTGCCAGTTGTAGGTCATGTTGTCGCCCATAACAGCCATCCAGCCAGCATGGAACATGGAGTTTTCATCCATCATTGCATCAATGGTAATCTGATTTGGGCGTACCCAGTTCCGAAGTCGGGCCATTAGCAGGAGGACTGGGGGCTTTCGCTATCCGCGCTGTTGCGGTATTCGAGCCCCTAACCCTAGGAAACATTTAACTATAGGCATTCAACTTCTTTACAATAAGAACCCCTACCTCAACATTTAAATGCTTGGGGCTAAATGCTTCCTAGCCGCAGGGTACCCTTTTTGTAGTTGGTGGCGTTTACATTAGTTTGTTAAGCCCCCAATCGCCTAATTTTGCGCAGTCTCGTGGTGTTTACATAGGTTTGTTATATAAGCCCCCAACCCCCTCATTTTTTGTAGCCTTAGACTCTGCATTTTCAGCGGTAATCCTGCGTTGTAAACCTAAACCCCTTCCCTGCGCACTCCAGTCCCTACACCCGGTACACTGGACCTTAAATCCCCGAGGTACCTTCTATAGAGCCCAAATAACACAACTAAGACCTACCTAGACCCTATTTAAATGTAGTTAAAGGCCTTTCACCACAGCCCGAGGCATCTGGTAGAGGAGCTGAAGGCCCAAAACCGTCGCCTGCAGGCGATTCAGGGTTGAGGGTTTAGGA